TATAATGATGATTAGGACGATTTTGTTTTCTTCTTTATATTCTTATGTTAATATTCTCTTAGATCGTATACCCGTATGTTGATAAGGCTCATTAAACGAAATATGATTGACGATCATCGTATATTAATTGGAAACAGCTGTGATGATAGGAAAAAATATTAATTTTATCGAATCTTACCGTATTTTCCTATGACATCATTCTATAATTCATATGTATCAATATGAATAACTGTATTATTTTTGTTATTCTATCCAAAACAAAAATATCACACGATTTTGTTTGGATAACCTCCTATAGACTATTTATTATTCTTAATATCTATCCGAGAATTAATTAATCAAAAACTTAAAGAGTAAATGATCGAAAATAATTGTCAAATATCTTTATTAATATATATATAAAACATTTGTATTACAAATTATAAACACAATCTATTCATGCAAAAACCATCGATATGATAATTACAAAAAATCTGAATAATAAATATTCGGTTAAGAAAAGAAAAAAACAATTTTTTTGAAGTTTTAATATACTATTGTCATATATATTCTAAAATAAAATCTATTTATCTTACTCTGATTAATTATGTCAATAAATATGGAATATTCAAAGGTAAATAAAACCAGGTCATGGCAAAATTCTTTGAAGGAAGAAAAATTTGTAAGTGTATGATATCTATGTAAGCGAAACTAGCGTCATAGTTGATAAAAAAAACAAACGACTTTCTAACCTTCATAGTGAATTTGATAGATATAAATCAATCTTTTAATGAAAGGATTAAGGTGAAAATTATTTTTTTTTAATAGGTTAATTTAATTAATCATTATATTCGATTATTTGATTGGCCAATCACGAACATGATCTAATCTTTATTTCGATTGGTTCTATGTAACAATCAATTAGGATTTATTTATCACAGTTGTGTTGTTTTTTATACCATGCGTTCAAAATTCTTGGCAACATGTCCTTATATTATATTTTCTTATTCGACGTCATTCCTATTCTATTTTTCTGCTGTTGTTGATTTTACTCATACATAATGTCGTCATTTAAAAATTATTTTCTTCCTATCGTGAAGTAACTAGTGCTTTTTTATATTACATAATTTCTATTATGCCTGTTCAATTTATTATTTTTTTGAACAAAACTTATTTAAATGAACAACTGACGTGTCATCTGTATATGATTATTAATTATTAATAGCTCTCGTTACTATAATTACTGTACTTTATATACATTTATATTATCAATGTATACAAAAATGTTAATTAGTTATTACACTACTTCTGATTTGAATTAAGGTAAACTCGTTTTTTATTTCATTCAGCGAACTAATAAGTATTGAACAATAGATATATGTTCTTCTAAAATTTTATTTATTAAAATCATAGCATTAGAATTATTTGAATAGAAATTTTTTGCGTTGCCAATCATTAAGCATGATTGTTGCTGCATTAAAACCTGGCATACCAGTGACACCTCCTGTATTAAATAGATAAATAAATCAATATTTTTTTTTGTTGTAATCAGATAAATTTACCTCCTGGATGTGTTGAACTTCCGCATAGATAAAGACCTTGTATAGGAGTTCGATGATTTGAACATGAAACTGCTGGTCGAAATGAATAGAGTTGATCAAGTGGGAGTGCACCATGAAAAATATTTCCACCTGTTAGAGAAAATTGTTCTTCTAAATCCGATGGAAAAAGCATATCACGTCCAATAATAAGTTTTTCAAATCCAGGTGCATATTGTTCAATTTCATTGATAACAGTTCGATAATAATTTTCTTTATATTCATCATTTATCTCAATTTGTTTACCATTTGGTAAACGATATGGTGTATATTGTGTAAATAATAGAGCAACATGACAGCCTTTTGGTGCTATAGTTGGATCAAGTGTTGAAGGAATAACCTAAATTAGAAAAAATATTAATTATTCCAATAGAGAATTTTTGTTTAATAAAAATACCATTTCGATCAATGGATGTTTACTTGGTTTTCCGTTTAATGCTTCTTGATAAGCAGTATGTAGATTAGGTATTGATTCGCTATTCATATGTATTGTACATTGATGATGTGGTTGAAATTCATTGTTATTTTTATTTGGATCAGCAAGAAAATTTCTATAAATATACGAAACGAAATTATTGATTTATTTTTGAAATAATTAATTACGGTAATCCTGAAAGTGCAAGATTTATTTTTGTTGTTCCACTTGAATAATCCATTTGTAAAATATGTCTTTTTAATTCAACTAATTCAGCATTTGTTTGAATAACATCATTTAATATTAAATTTTTAAATGTCGTGTAACCTGTTGCATTCGAAGCAACAATTTTTCCTTTAATTTCTTCCCCATTTTCGAGTACAACACCTTCAACTTTTGAATTACGTATATCAATATGCTTAACACTACAATTTGTACGTATTTCAACACCAGCAGCACGAGCAGATGATGCTATAGCATTACTAACACCACCCATTCCTCCTTGCACATAATACCAAGCATCTAAAAAAAAATAAATTTTAAATTTTAAGTTCATTAATTTCCCTTGAGAAATATCGTATTGTTATAAATCTTTCGATATTGTAACCTTTAAAAAAGATTTATTTGCTCGTATAAATATTTTTTTTTTTCGTTCTTTAAATTGACAGTTATTAATATCGTAATCGTATTTCTTAAATAGCATGCGATTGGAAGGATTCAAACGAGTAATATAATTTGATCTGTATCAAAATCCTGTTATGATATTTTCATTTGTTGTTTATAGCATCGTTTCTATTTTTATTTTTATTATGCGATGAAAAGATATGTCATGCCTAAATACATCGAGATGATATCTCAAGGAAAGATAAACATCTTAGAAATTGTAAGTTTTTATATTCTTAACAGTACCTTGTTAACCTTGATCGAAAAATGGTGCATGATGTGAATTTGTTTATTTGTATAGAACAGAATACATATAAGACGTTATGATTTTTAGTAATATATGTAATATAAAAACAAGTTTATCGCTAACAGATCCTAATATAGTAAGTCGATTCTACTTAGGTTATAATAAATTTTGTCGTTCTCTGTGTTCTTATCTCTCTCTCTTGAACTGTGATATGATCAGTTAGAATGATTATTAACTTACTGGCTCGTCCATCTAAACCACCCATGACATGATGAAGTAAAATATAACCAGTTCCTCTATCATAAGGACCGAGCATAGCACCAATAAGACCATCAGTAGCCAATGTAGCTTTAATAATATCGGATTCAAACCATTGATCTAATATTTTACTTGCCGATGAAGTTAATAGTTGATATAAATCCAGAGAACCTTTAAGACCAAGTTTTTGAAATAAATTATAAAATATTCTCGCTGAATAATTATAAGCACGAAAACGATCCGATATTTTATTTTGTTTACTCATTTGTCCGAGATCAGCTGGAGGTGAATAAATTAATTCATCTAAAGCTCGACATATTTTTGTTAACCATTCTTCATATTTCGGAAACATTTCTGCATCTTTTTTTGAAAAATTTGAAAGTTGTTTCATATTAAATTGAGTATCTGTTGAAGATAATAATAATGAACGTTGAGAATGATTCAGTGGATTTTTTATTGGTGTGTACGAACATGGATCACGAAAATAATACTTTAAACCATGTTCACGTAAATTTAAATCATCAATTATTTTCGGACGAAATAAACTTAATAAATACGATGCACGAGAAAATTTAAAATCTTTTATTATTTCTTCTGTACATGCAGCACCACCAACAATCGCACGTTTTTCACATACAAGAACACGTAAACCTTGTCGAGCTAAATATGCTGAAGTAACAAGACCATTATGTCCTGCACCGACTATAATGACATCGTATGCCTTCTTCATTGTTATTCTGTTTGCGTTTTGTTTGAATATGTGGCTACTGTTTTATTCTATATCTTCTTATCAATATACCTTTTTGTTTTAGATAAACGATAAAAGAGAAAAAAAAAATATTTGTCATGGTTATTACGAATGTTTATTAGATTCAATAAACAATCAAATGATGAGAAAGTGCAAACGAGCCATTCACCGGCAATTTGGTGGCGTAGGGAATTTTTTTGCAATGCTTATTCTAGTTGCAATCTCTGTTATTTTTATTAATACATTTGTTCTTACAAGACGAGATCGTATGTTTTGAAATCTATATATTACTTTTAATATTTATAATTATTTGAATTTTTTAGAATCTACAGATCAACCACATGAAAATTCACATAAAGTTGAATTAGTTCATAATCAAAATCATACAATAAAACCTCTTAAACCCGATCAAATTGAACCACAACGAATTCAAAGACCTGCTGCACCTGATGCTGGTAAATAAATAGATAAATATAGAATTCAAAATGAATAATTTATTTTTAGGATGTGAGATTGATGAAAAATGTTCAGATGATGCTATTCCATATAAAGTTGTTTCAGGTGATGGAATAGAAAAATATCCGATTATATGTTTTAATAACAAATTGTAAGTATTATTAAATATTGATAATCGGTATGCCATATTTATATTCTATAGACTATTACATAAAAATTTAAAAGATGCAAAAATTGGTCGTGGTGTTAATTTAGTCGCATTCGATGGTAAAACATATGATGTTAAATTAACAGAAACATTTGATACATATCTTGAAGGTAAAAATATTGAAGAAAGATTTGTTTTTGTACTTATTTATTATTTTTGATTAGAAACATTTTTTTTACGAACTCTTAAATTAAATTTAAATGATGGTGATATTATTATTCTTGCCAGTTTTGATGAAATGACATATGGGTGAGTAGACAAAAGACTAGAAATATTTTTTTCAAATTTTATTTTTAGATTAAAAGAAGCATCATTATCAATCTTAGAAAAATATGGTAGTCAGTTAATAAAAATTATTAAATTTCGTGATTCCTTTGTTATGATTGGACAAAAAGGACTTGCACGTGGAAAAGCCATTGAAACAGTAGGGTTTTCGAATAAGATTATCATTTAATAAACCTTATTTTATTTTTAGCATCAACCAAAAAGTAATCGTGATTTTGCTACTGCTGCACATATAAGTGGTTGTGCGAAATTTCCTTGTATGTTTCATAATAATTTGTACTTGTTTTTTTTTATATTTGATTGCTTTAGTGGGTCAAATAACAGCATTATCATTTCCAAGTTCAGAAATTAATAAAGAAGGAAAAATAGCTGTTGGTACATCAATAAAAAATTGTGGTTTAGTCGAAATGTGTAAAGAAAATGAATTTGCTGTACATGTTTATACTGGAAAAGATAAAGATGATGAACCAAAAATATGTGTAGATGGTAAATATGTTATGGCAAAAGGTATTAATGATGCTGGACGTGGTATAAATATTGTTGTTGTTTCCAATGGAAAAGAAGTTATTCGTACAGGTCATTTTGATACATGGCAAGAAGATAGTACAAATTTAGAAATCTTTCTTGAAAATCTTGAAGATAATGTTATCCTTATTGCAGTTACATTTGATGAAGCATCAACAAAGTAGGTTATTTTAGAAAACAAAATGTTCTATGTGCATGTTTAAGGATTATAAATATGATTTTATTATATTGTGTGTGTATATATATATTTATTTAGCTTACGAAATTTCACTCGAACTGTACTACAAGGTATTGGCAGTCAGAAAATAGGTTCACTCACTTTTCGTGATTCCTGGGCGCTTGTTCATCATTTCAAAACGAGCATCAATTATAACTTCGAAGAGGTGATAATTATGAGTTATATACATTTATATATTGTTGTTTTGACAGAGAATGAGTGAGCAGAATTTGCCGAATTTTCCCGTTATATATATATATATATATATGTATTTGAAGATGAAAACAAATGTACCATCTGTTGTTATTTTATCACCTTTTGTTTTCTATTTATGTATTTAGGCTTAGTCAGCACACTAGAAATCTTTTTTTTGATCTTGGCAGTGGAACTATACAAAATTTGAAATACCGCGATGTTTGGGCACTCGTGGGTCAAAAGGGCATCAAAGGTTTTAGCCCTTATGAAGAGGTTTGTCTTTAACTAAGCTTGTAAATGACTGTTGTACCAATCAACGAATAGGAAAATACACGCTTTTGTTGTGACAAATCATTCGTTCTTACCCTCGTATTTTTTCTAATAGAGTTAAAATACCTTTCATGGTGAACAGTAATATTTCGAATATTATTATTATTATTATTTTTGTTTTCTTTATTATTATAACGGGGAAATGGGATTCTGCTCAATCATTCATTAAATAATTAATATGCATGTTATGTTGTAACTAAGCTTTTATTTATTATTTAATACTAATTTATACACATGCACGTGTGTTTAGATTTCATATGCTGGCAGTGGTAATGCTTATGCAACTCCAATTGACAAACGAATGTGTATACCACAAACATGTAAGTGATTAATGTTATCGATAGATGTGATACCTGTAATATATTCAGAAGAGTTGAAAGAGATTTTCGTCTAGACGATTAATATTTTACAAACATGAACATTTCTTTTAGTTTCTAGTCTATGATAACTAATAGAATTTTACTAAGGAAATCAATCTTAAGACTCTTTAAATCTATAAAATACCTTTCATCATATAAATGAGTCTTTACGACTGGACTATCGTACCATCAAAATATAAGAATAGCTAACATAAGGACATTTGAACAATGCACACTTGCCTGAATTAAAGAACTATAATTTTCATATATATATGTATTTTTAGTGAAAGGAATTAAAATTCGACCTGACCCATTACCTTTTCGTAATGATAAACGTCGTGATTTTTGTTCACGTTATGATGGTTACGGAGACTTTTGTAGTGGTAAATATCTATACTTCATAATAATTCTTCGATGTACAATAAATGTTTCCTTTTTAAAGATACTAATGTAGATAAAAGCTTAGCAACAGTTTCATTATTAAATAAAACCTTGGAAGACAATCCAATTTATTCGACGCCGATTCTTGTCATAGCTGGTTTGTTTTTTATTTATTTATTACTGGAATATTAATTTTGAATTTCTAGGAATCTCCCATAATTCTCTACGTATGTGTCTAGAAACATTATTAATGCAACCAGGCATTCTTGTTGAAAATGTTATTGTATGTATTACATTTGATTATTAATAAATCTATCTATCTAATGATTTGTTAGGTTGCTGTTGATGAAAAATTTTCTGAATCACTTGCATTAATTGATCTATTTGGATTTCGAGGTGAAAAAACATCAAGTAGTTCAACATATATGGGTAATGATAACAAATAGAATAAAAAAAGTTTATAAAATAATTTCTTGTAGAACATTATGAAAAATCGTTGAATAAAGTTTGGGAACTTCATCCAAATAAAGTATTAAAACATCTAATTTTTAAATCTTTATTATCTAATTTTTTGTTGTAATTAGGATAAAGTGATTGTTATCGAAGAAGATCTTATTTTATCACCTGATTTTCTCTATACACTTGCATTACTAAGTGAAACATTTCGAAAAGATGATACCATAGGTGCAATACAAATGTGGAATCCTAATTGTAAGAATTTTTTTTTTGTTTTTATTAAATATCTGACTTGTGTTTTATTTAGCATATGATAATGTCAATGGTTCAATTGATTTAATCTATCGTGTTGATAATCTATTTGGTTTAGGATATTTACTGAGACGTTCATTTTATGATAAAAATATGAAAAATTCATTTAAACAGTGTTGTTCAAAACGGTAGATTGAGTTTATTATTAAAAATAATTTCTTTTCAATCAAATATTTTTCTATAGAGTTTGGGATAAATGGTCATTTTCAGATTCATCATCATCATTTCTTATGCCAGATATTTCACGTGTATTTCGTCGACCTATTGATGGAAATCGAATTAATACGAAATATTTAGAAGTATTATTTAATCGTAAACGAAGAACCAGTTTGTAAGTTATTTACATTACATATTCTTTTTATTTAAAAATTGAATTTTTTATAGAAATCCATTTCCAGCATTATCAAATATCGATACACTTCGAAAAGAAAAATATGAAGCAAATTTAATTAAAATAATTAATTCTGCTACATTACTTAAATCATTAGAAAAATGTGATACAATCAATATTAATATGCATAATCTAATTCAAAATCAGAATAGGTAAGAAACAAAATTTTACATTTAAAAAAACAAAAACTAATTTAATCGTTTTTGTTTAGTTCTGATACATTTAAATTTATTTATCAACAAGAATCGGAAAATGATTTTACAACACTTACACCAATTCTTCCTTGTTTTGGTTTATTTCCAATAGAACCACTTGGTCTTTATCATGGTATTCTTCGTTTTACTTCAAATAAATATCATTTTTATCTTATTGGAACTAAATCGTCTTTATATAAAAGTATTTCAATTGCTACTTAAGATATTCTTTCATCTCATCACTGTGTCTCTCATATCTCTTTTTTTGTTTTATATATACATATATATTTATTGATTATTAGTTGAACTCATTTTGAAAAGGATTATCGTATATTCTAGTCTATTTGTTAACATTTAATGAAACGAAAAAAAAAAAGTGCGCGCAATATTAACATATGACTGAACTATACTACATTCCATACAGATCTTTTTCTAATACTCGTGTTTGTGTTAATTGATGATGATAGAAGTTTTTAATTATTGCGCATGTGTCTTTGCTACGATTTATGATTATATTTTATTTTACTTACTTTTTTTTGTTATTCTGCTGTCGTTTTCTTTGTTTTTTTTTCTTTTAGTATATGGATGTTTGAAATAAAACGTAAAACATGTACTGATTGTGTAAAATATTGACTATTTGATTAGAAATCAACAGAGAATTGTTACATGCAACAAACAAGAATAAAATAATAGTCCAAATTGATTAACACTATCCAAGGATAATTAGTTTTTTATCCAACCAGAATCTTTAGTTTCTGTATGTACTTGTTATACTAAATTTGTTTCTCGGAATGAAATAAATAGATTTCTATTGGTGATAAAACGAATATACTTCAATTCAAGACATATTCTCGTTTGCTGACGGACATATATTATAAAAAACTATCAGAATAAACATTTTTTTTCCTTTAATAGTCTCATTTGTTACTTGACAACGAGTAATATATATGTATCAGACAGTTCAGAAAATAAAAAATTTGATGTATATGACATTTATTGATTAAAATAAAAATTTGCATTAGACTCATTGCCATGATTTTTATTTTTAATTTATGAAAATGAAATATGTAAAAAACAATGTCCGTTCTATTATTAGAAATGTCATTTTCTTTTCTTCGATGAAAGTCATCATGTCTGGCTATATTTTTATTTCCTTGGAGACTAACTTTTTTTTCTTCTAATAATTACTTTTAAATGAATAAAATTGAACGACAAGAAAAAGTATAATACTTAAACATGTTCTAATTTCAAAATATTGTCTCGAATTCTATTCCTTCTGTCTTGTAAAACTCTATGTATGTCCTGTGTGAATAATTCATCCAGTAAATAATAATCCAGGTACCATCATTCACAAGGACATAATTAGTTCTATTTTATGATTGTTAATAGTGAAATATTTTTTTTTTGTTATAAATTGACATATAATAATATAGGAAAAGGTGTTAAAAAACTCTAATAAGAGTGCATAGGTGTATTTTTCTCATTGTTTTAGTAACAAGTTTTTTGAAGTAATCAGACAACATGCTTTGATTTTTTTTTATCTTCAAATTTCTTCTATTATTTTTTTTTCTTCAATTTTTAATGTTTAGTAAAATTTTTTTTTGAAGTGAATCTCTATGTTTATAAATATTGTTTTTTCTTTTTCTTCTCTTTTTCTTCTTTCATTTTGAATTGATACAATTTTATATTTGTTTATTTTGTGTTTGATGTCAAACAAAACGATTTGAAATCCGTCGCTGTTATATATAATGAACGAACAAATCGTTTAAAAATTGAAAAGAAACAAACGGAAAATAATTCACTTAAATACAGTAAGAAAAAAACGAAATGTTATTGTTTTTGTTGTTCGTCAAAATCTATGATAATCATCACTGATTTCATCTATCCTATGCCAAAAACATCATTAAAATTTCTGTAGTTTTTTTCTAGTTTAGCTAACTATACAAATTGATATGCGTTTAAAAACACTTTGTAGAGATCGTGCCCTTTTAGAACTCGAAGGTACGTAAATAATAAGTTTAAAAATATCTTATTCACATTTGAAATAACGCAATTGTGTTTTTTTTGTCAGGTGCTATTGTTAATGGAGATCAAATGAATTTGTCAAATAATGTATCAAAACCAATTCATCATCGATCAAATACATCATTTGCTTTTCCAACATCTTTCAATTCTGAAATATCTTATCCACACCTTACACCATCAGCGGATTCAATTCATGAAATGAGTAGTTATTCATTTCGAACAACTGATACTCTAACAGCATCACAAGCTTCAAATATGTCATCATATAGAAATCTGCAAGCAGCTTATCTTGATCGTGGTATTCGAGTACATTTAAGTCCAAGAAAAGCAATGTCAGCAAGACAAGCTAAATCCGAAAGACAACCTATTAATGATGCTCGCCCAAATACCGCATGTGTTAGACGAAATCCACGTAGATTGTCGAATACACTTCAAGATACAATTATCAATCAAGATCCTCATATTGAATCTTATAGTACATTACAACAAGAATCTGCAAATGATTTTGAACAAATTCATACACAAAATGGATCTAATGGTGAATTATCTTCTTCAATGGATGAAGATGATAATTACTATACAACATCGTTTATAACTAGCGAACATTATAATCCTTCAAAAAAATCTTTAACACATACTATAAAACCCACAACACCAATTGATGATAATGATCCTGATATTGTATATATGAGTACATTATTAAAAAAAGCACGTGTAGAATCTGGACGAGGTAATATCAAATGATAAATTTCTTTTCTCAAAACAAAAATTCTAAATTTATAGATACAATTCGTCGACATGGTCCTATACGAAAAACATTTAGTGCACGACCATATTCATTTGAAAATAAATCTGTTCAAGAAAAATCACCTATAAATAATACAAACTCATCAACACGAAATTTAACTGATACAACTATTCCTATCCTACCATCAAAAAAACTTGATCAAGATATTTTGAAACATGCATCACGTCTTCGACACGATCATTCAACAAAATCACATACCGGTCGTATTAATAGTGCATCATCTCGAGATAGTTCTGATACTCATAATAATAGACATAATTCACATCGTAAAATCTTAAAATCAAACAATCAAGTAATTAGATATATTATCATTTCTTTAAACATAAATTATTCTAGGAATCCGATGAACATCATCTTCATCCACCACGTGTAAAATCATTAACAGTCGATGATCTACCTTTAACTAAGACATTATCAATTACTCGTAATCTGAAAACTTCAACAAAACATATTAAATCAACGAATGAAAATGAATATACAAATTTTTCGTCAGTAGACGAACAATCAAATTCAAGTTCATCTTCAAATAAAGGAAATTTATCATTAATGCGAACATCTCCATTGGATATAATTCCTCAATCAAGTCTAATGGAATCAAGTTGGTATGATCAAAGTAATAGTGGTTCTGGTGATGGACAAAGTTTGTCATCTTCAAGTATGGTACACCTACCAGGTTCAATATTAGCAGGACAATTAACTCATTCCGCTACACGTCGCTCGCATAAGAAAGTTTCATTTTATGAAGAACCTCGAACAGTTATATTTCCAGCAACAACAACAACATTTGCATAAGAGAAAAATGAGATGATAAATAGTGTGCAATTAGAAATGACTAGTGTGAGAGCGTATTTATGTTTATAAATATCTTGTTTTTTTTCTATTTGAAATGACAAGAAAGAAAAAAAAACACATGAGTCTTTATACTAATAATGTCATTGGGCAAATGTTTATAACCATAGTTAAGCAACGCATACGAGTTTATATTAACAAGAATTTATAATTAACTAAAAGAAAAAGAAATTAAAAATACTATAATGAAAAAAAACATTTCAGTTGACTAACAATAAGAAGAAGTACACGTTCTTTTTAGCAAAAATACTAACACAACATAACTGACAGTTATGAGACGTAAGTTTTACAAATTAACTTTTCGAAATACATATATTACTGATTATAAGATAATCTTGATTCTGTTAAAGATACATGATCCGAGAAGATTATAATAGAGATTTACTACATTATATAGATTAAAAAAATAACTTGTCAAATTTTTTACTTTGTTTATTTCGATTTATTTTATTTTTTTGAAGAAAAATATAGTATCAATGTTTTTATTTGTTGTTGACGTATCTATGATATTCATACAAATAAAAAGGGTAAACAGAAAATTTATCAACAAAAAAAAAACTTAGATAATTTGTAAAAAATATTGAATCATTTTATTCTCGAAGGAACTTCATTTCGAACAAACAATTAAAGTAAGTAGCTATAAAAAATAGCAATTAGTATTCATGATAAAAAAAAATGATATTATAATGAGCACTTATAACTGATGGTGTATTAGTTGGAGTAAGAATGAAAATTTATAAATGTTGAGCTGACAAAAACATTCCCAGGTATTGTCATGCAGACAATGAATCTATAGACTCGATGAATAATTGCACCTGAGTTCTTAATTAGTTAAATGTAAATGTTTTCAGTTTTATTAATAAATGTTTCTTTTCGGTAGGTAGATCATCTGAACGACCTGATTCTGCTAATTCAATTCGTCGAAGTACACGACAACGTTTACATAATCCATCAAATCGTCGTGTTTATACAGTAGAAAATGGTTTAGATGCAAAAGAGTCTGTTTCAACAATAGATTCATCCAATCCACGAACTACACAAGAAACTCATATAAGACCATCATCAGAAACTAATGGTCATAATCAACAAATTTCTGCTACGAGTCCACTAAGACATTTAGTCATTAAAAACACACATGAAGCTGTTCAAGTAGGAGAATATTTTAAAATAAAATTATTTAATCTTTTTTGATATATGAAAAAAAAAGGTTCGTATTCGTTGTATATTTTTACGTGTCGGTGAAATCGATACATTAAATGAACGATATTATGCCGAGATTTTACTTCAAGCATCATGGGAAGATTTATCACTTAAAAGTCTACCAAATCAATTATTTGATCCAATTATACATTGGACGCCACAACTTGAATTAATGAATGGTATTGGTGATTTAAAAGATGAAATCGTATATACTGCTCGTTTTAATGAACAAGGTATAGCTACAATTACTGAACATCATAAATTAAAAGGTACATTATGGGAACGTATGGAATTGGAATATTTTCCTTTGGATACACAAAATTTATCTATTATAATAACA